ATCCACTGCTATATTTATCCTCTATATAAAGTATCCACTGCTATATTATTCCTCTATATAAAGTAACCACTCCTGTATTTATCCTCTATATAAAGTAACCACTCCCGTATTTATCCTCTATATAAAGTATCCACTGCCGTATTTATCTTCTATATAAAGTATCCACTGCTATATTTATCTTCTATATAAAGTATCCACTGCCGTATTTATCATCTATATAAAGTATCCACTGCTATATTTATTTTCTATATAAAGTAACCACTCCTGTATTTATCCTCTATATAAAGTATCCACAGCTATATTTATCCTCTATATAAAGTAACCACTCCCGTATTTATCCTCTATATCAAGTATCCACTGCAATATTTATCATCTATATACAGTTTCTACTGCTATATTTATCCTCAATATAAAGTATCCACTGCTATATTTATCCTCTATATCAAGTATTCACAGCTATATTCATCCTCTATATCAAGTATCCACTGCTATATTTATCCTTTATATAAAGTATTCACTGCCGTATTTATCCTCTATAGTGAGTAACCACTCCCGTATTTATCTTCTATATAAAGTATCCACTGCTATATCTATCCTCTATATCAAGTATCTACTGCTATATTTATCCTCAATATAAAGTATCCACTGCTATATTTATCCTCTATATAAAGTATCCACTGCTATATTATTCCTCTATATAAAGTAACCACTCCTGTATTTATCCTCTATATAAAGTAACCACTCCCGTATTTATCCTCTATATAAAGTATCCACTGCCGTATTTATCTTCTATATAAAGTATCCACTGCTATATTTATCTTCTATATAAAGTATCCACTGCCGTATTTATCATCTATATAAAGTATCCACTGCTATATTTATTTTCTATATAAAGTAACCACTCCTGTATTTATCCTCTATATAAAGTATCCACAGCTATATTTATCCTCTATATAAAGTAACCACTCCCGTATTTATCCTCTATATCAAGTATCCACTGCAATATTTATCATCTATATACAGTTTCTACTGCTATATTTATCCTCAATATAAAGTATCCACTGCTATATTTATCCTCTATATAAAGTATTCACAGCTATATTCATCCTCTATATCAAGTATCCACTGCTATATTTATCCTCTATAGTGAGTAACCACTCCCGTATTTATCTTCTATATAAAGTATCCACTGCTATATTTATACTCTATATAAAGTACCCACTGCTATATTTATACTCTATATAAAGTATCCACTGCTATATTTATCCCCTATATAAAGTAACCACTCCTGAATTTATCCTCTATATAAAGTATCCACTGCTATATTTATCCTCTATATAAAGTATCCCCTGCTATATTTATACTCTATAAAAAGTATTCACTGCTATATCTATCCTCTATATCAAGTATCCACTGCTATATTTATCCTTTATATAAAGTATTCACTGCCGTATTTATCCTCTATAGTGAGTAACCACTCCCGTATTCATCTTCTATATAAAGTATCCACTGCCATATTTATCCTCTATATATATCATCCACTGTTATATTTATCCTCTCTATAAAGAATCCAATGCTATATTAATCCTCTATATAAAGTATTTACAGCTTTATTTATCATCTATATAAAGTATCCACAACTATATCTATCCTTTATATAAAGTATCCATAGCTATATTTATCATCTATATAAAATATTCACTGCTATATTTATCTTCTTTATCAAGTATCCACTGCTATATTTATCCTCTATATAAAGTATCCACTGCTATATTTATCCTCTATATAAAGTATCCACTGCTCTATTAATCCTCTATATAAAGTAACCACTCCCGTATTTATCCTCTATATAAAGTATCCAGTGCTCTATTTATCCTCTCTATAAAGTATCCACTGCTATATTTATCCTCTATATAAAGTAACCACTCCCGTATTTATCTTCTATATAAAGTACCCACTGCTATATTCAGCCTCTATATAAAGTATCCACTGCTATATTCAGCCTCTATATAAAGTATCCACTGCTATATTTATCCTCTATATAAAGTATCCACTGCTCTATTAATCCTCTATATAAAGAATTAACTGCCGTATTTATCTTCTATATAAAGTAACCAAAGCTATATTTATCCTCTATATCAAGTATCCACTGCTATATTTATCCTCTATATAAAGAATTAACTGCCGTATTTATCTTCTATATAAAGTAACCAAAGCTATATTTATCCTCTATATCAAGTATCCACTGCTATATTTATCATCTATATAAAGAATTAACTAACGTATTTATCTTCTATATAAAGTATCCACTGCTATATTCAGCCTCTATATAAAGTAACCACTGCTATATTTATTCTCTATATAAAGTATCCACTGCCGTATTTATCCTATATATAAAGTATCCAGTGCTCTTTTTATCCTTTCTATAAAGTATCCAATGCTATATTTATCCTCTATATAAAGTAACCACTGCTATATTTATCCTCTATATAAAGTATCCACTGCTATATTCAGCCTCTATATAAAGTATCCACAGCTATATTTATCCTCTATATAAAGTAACCACTCCCGTATTTATCTTCTATATAAAGTATCTACTGCTATATTCAACCTCTATATAAAGTATCCACTGCTATATTTATCCTCTAGATAAATTATCCACTGCTATATTCAGCCTCTATATAAAGTAACCACTGCTATATTTATCCTCTATATAAAGTAACCGATCCTGTATTTATCCTCTATATAAAGTATCCACAGCTATATGTATTCTCTATATAAAGTATCCAGTGCTCTATTTATCCTCTCTATAAAGTATCCAATGCTATATTTATCCTCTATATAAAGTATCCACAGCTATATTTATTCTCTATATAAAGTATCCAGTGCTTTATTTATCCTCTCTATAAAGTATCCACTGCTATATTTATCCTCTATATAAAGTATCTACTGCTATATTTATCCTCTATATAAAGTATCCACAGCTATATTTATCATCTATATCAAGTATCCATTGCTATATTTATCATCTATATAAAATATTCACTGCCGTATTTATCCTCTATATAAAGTATCCATTGCTATATTTATCCTCTATATAAAGTATCCATAGCTATATTTATCATCTATATAAAGTATCCAATGCTATATTTATCCTCTATATAAAGTATCCACAGCTATATTTATCCTCTATATAAAGTAACCACTCCCGTATTTATCTTCTATATAAAGTATCCACTGCTATATTCAGCCTCTATATAAAGTATCCACTACTATATTTATCCTCTATATAAATTATCCACTGCTATATTCAGCCTCTATATAAAGTAACCACTGCTATATTTATCTTCTATATCAAGTAACCGATCCTGTATTTATCCTCTATATAAAGTATCCATAGCTATATTTATTCTCTATATAAAGTATCCAGTGCTCTATTTATCCTCTCTATAAAGTATCCAATGCTATATTTATCCTCTATATAAAGTATCTACTGCTATATTTATCCTCTATATAAAGTATGCACAGCTATATTTATCATCTATATAAAGTATCCAATGCTATATTTATCCTCTATATAAAGTATCTACTGCTATATTTATCCTCTATATAAAGTATCCACAGCTATATTTATCATCTATATAAAGTATCCATCGCTATATTTATCCTCTATATAAAATATCCACTGCCGTATTTATGCTCTGTATAAAGTATCCACTGCTATATTTATTCTCTATATAAAGAATTCACTGCCGTATTTATCCTCTATATAAAGTATCTACTGCTATATTCAGCCTCTATAAATATATATCTATCCTCTATATAAATTATCCATTGCTATTTATCCTCTATATAAAGTATCCACAGCTATCTTTATTCTCTATATAAAGTATTCAATGCTATATTTATCCTCTATATAAAGTATCTACTGCTATATTCAGCCTCTATAAATATATATCTATCCTCTATATAAAGTATCCACAGCTATATTCATCATCTATATCAAGTATCCATTGCTATATTTATCATCTATATAAAATATTCACTGCCGTATTTATCCTCTATATAAAGTATCCATTGCTATATTTATCCTCTATATAAAGTATCCATCGCTATATTTATCCTCTATATAAAATATCCACTGCCGTATTTATGCTCTGTATAAAGTATCGACTGCTATATTTTTTTCTCTATATAAAGAATTCACTGCCTTATTGATCTTCTATATAAAGTATCCACTGCTATATTTATCCTCTATATAAAGTATCCACAGCTATCTTTATTCTCTATATAAAGTATTCACTGCCGTATTTATCCTCTATATAAAGTATCCACTGCTATATTTATCATCTATATAAATTATCCACTGCTATATTTATCCTCTATATAAATTATCCACTGCTATATTTATCCTCTATATAAAGTATCCACTGCTATATTTATCATCTATATAAATTATCCACTGCTATATTTATCCTCTATATAAAGTATCCACTGCTATATTCATCCTTTATATAAAGTATCCACTGCCGTGTTTATCCTATATATAAAGTATCCATAGCTCTATTTATCATCTATATAAATTATCCACTCTGTGTGTGTGTGTGTGTGTGTGTGTGTGTGTGTGTGTGTGTGTGTGTGTGTGTGTGTGTGTGTGTGTGTGTGTGTGTGTGTGTGTGTGTGTGTGTGTGTGTGTGTGTGTGTGTGTGTGTGTGTGTGTGTGTGTGTGTGAGTATATGTAAAGGGTATTTGAGTCAGTGTGACAGTTGTTTTTTCTGGCATTTATTGATGTATATTATGCATATATGTAAAATTTCCGAACATAAAAAAATTAAATAATAAAAAGTTTCATAATCAAATAACAATTTAATGAATTAATAATAAATTTCAGAGTATGCTGCACCGTTTGCTATCATGTGACAAACAAGCCCTTGCACACGTTGCCACGGTTATGTTTGTGGGCGTGGTATCTGACGAACGAGTCGACATTTCAGTTATGAATGATGAATGATTTACCAGATCTGATCACCGTCGCCAAAAATGGAAATTTACAGGTATGTTTTCAGGTGTGGTGTCCCGAAGGTTTTTATTGTAGGAGGAAACGGGAGTACTCGGGGGAAAATTACATGATCGAGTGGGCCTCAATGTGATACGTCAACCCTTTGGATGGTGACAACCTACTATATAGATTAATACACTGATAATGGTCATTTACAAAAGTATCTCCTTACAAAAAGCATTTTGGCAGAAAAAGAAATGTAAGTTTTTATTAATATCTATACTTTCTATAATTGAATTGGACGAAGGTCACTGGATCAAGGGCAATCAGACCAACAAGTAAAACGTACGATTTTCTCCGACACCGCTCGGATGTATAGGCATATTGATTTGAAACAACTCTTTGTACAATACGAGTCTTATTTACACGTTATATTTCCCGTTGCTTTTAACAGGAGGTAGAAAATTTGTTGAGACAAAACTATTCTGTGCACATTCGGGGCAAAGACGACGAAACTGCCCTCTACTGGAGCTCATGTCGTGGTCACGTGCAAATCTGTAAGACACTCCTTGACAGCGGAAGTGACGTTAACGCGCGTGTAGCGTGGGGATCCACGGCGTTACACGCAGCAGCAGATCGAGGTCATCTCCAGTGCGTCGATCTCCTAATTAGACGGTATATAACACAATATAATACAATATATATGATGCCATATAACATACGGAATGATATCATATAATATTGATTGTTTAACCCAAGGCTTTGCCGACGGTAAGACTGTCAGGAATCTTCCCGAGGTAGAGATTTTTCTGTGCTACCCTCGAGGTAGGGAATGATCCTTTTTCTATTCCATTTCCCCTTTAAAATAAATAAGCAAATGAATATATATGTGACATTAGAACCATCGGCATCGTCTTTTGCATTTGAAGCTCAGATGGCAATTATTAAAAATGTCGTCATTAAATGACGTCATTAACATTCGCACGCACCAGAAAGAACACTTCCTTTGCGTACATAGAGATTTATCCTGCACCTGGCACTGCAATTGTCGGATTACACCTGCCACATATAGTTTTGCTGTATTCGGCAGTGACGAAAAACAACAGTATTTTAGCACGTGCGGTCATTCGAAAGAACTACTCTCTGAATTAACTTTGATATAAGGTGTTTAGATATATTAATAGTTGTTGAAATAAGCGATGTTGCATGTTGTAATTTAGTTGATTTATGAAAATTCCTAAAATCTCCATATTTCCGCGCGGAGCAATTACTTTGTCGTTCGTTATCAGGCAAAATTCAGCGTAACGTTAACACCAGGTAAACACAGATTGAACAACAAAACTGTTTAAGTTTCAATAGTCTGATATTCAACCAATGTTGCAGGAAGATTACATAGTCAGTATCTTTAAATATAAGCTACATTTTGGCGAGGGTGAAAAGTGGCTCGCCAGAGTTCTCTGCATCGTGCCCTCACCGGAAGTGTAGATATTTCTGTCCGGTGGGGTAGAATATGTTGTCTCGTACTCGAACAATGCGGTGTGACATGAGAAATTATGAAGATTTACTTTATATATGTTTGATTACTTATCTTAAATTTATCCGAATGGTCAGTATCAAGCGACGTATTTGTTGTTTTAAAAATAATTTTGAATTCGCGTTTTCTTTAAAATTATGATGTAACAAAATGGTATTTTTTCTCTGGACAGTGGGGCCAGTATAAACATTCAGAACAAACGAGGGGACACGGCGCTACATGTCGCAGCCTATCGAGGTCACATCGAGATAGTTAGGCTTTTGGTTCGGGCAAAACCCGACCTTTTCATCAAAAACGACAAAGGCCGAACAGCGGCTGATGAAGCGGAGGGAAACAGACAGCAAAACACGTCAAAGTATATGTACCAACAGATGCTACGTAAGTTGATCTCGTATGAAATCCGATAGGCTAATATCGTTTCACAACTCGTGTCTTGTATACCGAAAAATCCCAGGTATTTTGTGAAGTTAATAATTCGGCAAATCTTACTCCTCCTACCCTCGTGTTGTGGGTTTCTCGGTATACACCTCTGTTATATATACTCCCCTCAAAACATAACAAATTAAGTACAGAATAATACACAACCAAAAGGAATGATAAGGTGACGTAACGAGAACTTTGAAAAGTCAGGAAAATAAAACCGTGAAATGTACTGAAGGTTCTGAAAACGAGGTTTACGAGAGAGATCAAACAGGAAGGCCTAGATCCGTGAATACCTATTTCTAAATTTACCCTGAGCTACAGATAAAAAGTACCATCATGTATTGTCATAAATGTTTTGTTCAAGGCATTTATAAACCGGAATTCTCGCCAATCTAATAGTGAAGTAAGAAAACTAAACAAATGACAAAGTCTGTTTCTGATGAAAGTTTAACGCTAATTAGCGTGCTGTTTTTAGTTTAAAATGATACGTAGTTTGCTTTCAGCTTTTAACCGGAATCCCTTCTCTGACCACAACCAAGCGTCACCACCACTCAATACGAAACACACTTTACCTCAGCGATCTGTCCGAAGTCAACCCATGTGTCGAAGTTCAGAAGATAACAACAGCCAAAGTCAAGGGTATGTCAGTCTTGGTAGCCTTCCATCTCAAGGTCAGTTTCAAGGTCCATCAAACGGATGGAAAGATGAAAATTCATGCGTTTCTTTTCCTGGAACTTCTACAGAAAAGGGAACAGTCTCAGACAGCAACTTTCTCCGATATCGAGATGACCTCACAGGATTTCGAAGGAGAACGGAACCTGAGGAGAGCATGGATGACGGAAGAATCGATAATGTAACGAACAAAGAAAACAATTGGACAAAACTCTGTAGGAGAGAGTCTATAAATGGCACCTGTGATAATGATTATGCGGAGGTAATAATGCGACATAAGGGCCCGAAAATTGCCCGTGAAGGAAGTGACAGGATTAATAGTGAAGAATATACGGAAAAAGTGTTGTCGGAGTTCCAACCTTGTAATCCCTCAGCATTCTTAGAGGATAATAAAAAAGGGGGCCTACCGTTACTAGGATCATGTGAAGATGTGCGCTTGTCCCATCAGTGCCTAGCTACTACCGTTAGACCTTCTAGAATTTCTGTTGGCTGTGTGAGGGAAGTAGCGGGAAATACCCATAATGAATCTATTGAGAGTTTCTCTGAAACACTACAGATGGAGTTATTCAAGAAACAGGAAATGGTGGAAAAGTTGCAAAAAGAAAATATTTCTTTGAGAAATCAATTGTCAACAATAAAAGAAAAACTTCACCAGTTTTCCAGTGCTTGCCAAAAACTAAAACACGAAAACGTGCAGTTGCGATCGTCGGAGGAAGAAAGGACTAAAAATGCGAACAAATCTCAACATTCTACCTCACAACATTCTCTCCTTGGCTTTATCGACTTTCTAGATAAAGTTTCCAAGGGAGGAAGTGTTTGTTGTCATAGCGACCAAATTTTAGTAATCCTGAAGGAAAGCTTACATTCTCATTGGTTAAAATATGTCCCTCCTAGTCAGTTAGATGTGCCAAATAAGGAGTGGTTTCCAGGGAAGGACTATAGTGTGATTGGTGTCCGGCCAACAAGTCTGCTGCTAGCTGGCCAAAAGGAAGGGTACTACTCTCTTGTGTTCCAAATAAAACACAAAGGCCAACTGCGGATTCTAAAGGTAAACTTTAGTCGAAATGAAGAATTTGAAAGCAGAGCACATGACAACTTCGAGAAACACGTCAAATGTAAACTAAGGTCAAATGTGGATACTTAGGGTCAACCCTAGGTGGTACATGTGATCACAGCATATGTTGTTTCGGAATCTTCATTTACATACGACCTGTAGGTTTTTTCTGTAACACCGACCTGATCCAAGTCTTTGTAGTGAAGTTCAGAGCTGATATGAAGTCTAGGTTCAGCTCTCGGACTGAAAGCCTGGTCTCGGTAAATCTCGCTGACTGATAACCAGGTCTCGGTAAAGCTTCCGAACTGATATCCAAGTCTCGGAAAATCTCGCTGACTGATAACCAGGTCTCGGTAAATCTTCCGAACTGATATCCAAGTCTCGGAAAATCTTGCTGACTGATAACCAGGTCTTGGTAAAGCTTCCTAACTGATATCCAAGTCTCGGTAAAGGTCTCGGACTGATAACTAAGTATCGATAAAGCTTTAGAACTGATAACCAAGTCTTTGTTAAGCTATAGGACTGATAACCAACTATCGGTAAAGCTTTAAGACTGATAGCCAAATCTCGGTAAAGCTCGCAAACTCATTTCCAGGTCTCGGTAAAGCTTCTGGACTCATTTCCAGGTCCCGGTAAGCTTCCGGACTCATTTCCAGGTATCGTTTAAGCTTCCTGACTCATTTATAGGTCTCGGTAAAGCTTCTGGACTCATTTCCAGGTCTCGGTAAGCTTCCGGACTCATTTATAGGTCTCGGTAAAGCTTCCGGACTCATTTATAGGTCTCGGTAAAGCTTCCAGACTCTTTAATAGGTCTCGGTAAGCTTCCGGACTCATTTATAGGTCTCGGTAAAGCTTCCGAACTGATAACCATACTTCTAGTTTTGTAACAGTTAAGGTATGAAAATGATCAAATACTAAATTTTCACACCTGTAAATGGCTATTAGATCATGTTGAGGATGACGCTAATGTGTTGGTTTAAATGGATTTGATAATAGACGTTGAAAGTTATATAAAGTACGAGTTATTACGATTTTGCAAGAGTATCTTTTTGTAAATAAAACAACTTTTATTACAAATAAAATACTTGCAATATATATGGTAAACTGTTCCTAATTCAACATTTTGATTTCAACAGATGAAGGTAAACCTCGTCAATATGGAGACTGGCAGTACTAGTCCGGAATACAGTATCGAACACTTTCTGACCAATACCTTCGATTCGGAACACCAACTTCCGATGACATTGAACGAACATCTGAACATAATCAAGCTTAGACACAGTTTCACTGGACAAACAGAGAAATTCCAAAAATATTTCAGTCTTGCCCCGGTAAAGTTTGATTTGCCAGTGGAAATATCGTCTCGGACAACTTTTCTTGTATTCGACCATTTCTCAGAATCCTTGAAATCCCTCTGTACTAACTTCCGACATAATCACCCAGAGCCCCCATTTGGTCTGGACACTATGTTTGTTCTACAACTGTTGTACCAAATGCTCTCGGCCGTATACTTTATCCGGAAAAATGGTGTAATTCATCGCGATATCAAGGCAGAAAATGTTTTATTTGATACCTGTTTGAGACCCGTGTTGGCAAACTTCGGGATGGCACGTCTGACTGAAGGCAACAACTTCACAAACGGTGGAGAAGTTTATGCTGGTAATGTACAGGCATGGGCACCAGAACTAACAAGATGGAAGCATGAAGGTCCACCGCGAAGCAATGGTGAAAACGTAGGTGTTTCTCTAATTAATGGCGTTCTATACAGACCTTACCTAGTTTATAGATACGACATATAATTTAAACAATGAATAAGCTGATTTTAGAATCGAATTTGTTGAAGATCATAAATTTTAAGAACTTCATCTTAGCGACAAAATAACTTTTAATCCCCCACTGTTACCATTTACTTTCTTTCACAGGTGTCCCTAAAGGAAATTTACAGTAAATCTGACGCATATGCTGTAAGCAGGATGTTCTACAGTCTTCTGCTTCCGTCGGTAGAGGCCATTGCATTTCCACAATCGTCTCGTAAACGACCTCATTACGAAAATTCAGAAATACCCGAGTTTCCCTCTACATACCCAGCAGGACTAAGGTTTGTCTTACGAAATCAAGTCTTGGACGATCCAGTGGACAGAATGACAGACCGCAAGGCTATGTTATAGTGAGTACGATTCTATAAATTGTCAGTGTCTTCCACAAACTACTTTAAGGACAGTAGCAATGAGAAATGCCACGCTTATACTTAGTTGCTTATGGTATTCCAATTAAATTTTGCATGAAAATAAAGATAGAACATCATGACGTCATCCAAAAAATACACAGACTTGTTGCCAAGTCAACACTGTTTTGACCACGCAGCATTTTTTAATGTCGTTCTAAAATGATAAAATTATCTACTGAAAAGATTAAGAACGCAACTTCTTTAATCGTAAAATGTTTCGTAGTGAATTTACAAAAACGTATAAAAAATAAGAGGGATATAAGGGCACCTTACCTAATTCCCAATTAAATGTTAAAAATCCGTCATCCGTGCCAAAAGTATTCACATCCGTTACGTATTAATTACCAATATACCGTGAGTGTACAAATACATACGTTCATTTACATTCAAAGTAGTTTTGATCTCTGACTATCACCTAGACATGTGATCGTCAATATATTTGGAGTCAATATTTCTTTTATAAATATGCCAAGGTTATCCCAACTTGAGAGAGGACGTGCTCTCGCAATGCTCATGGGAGGTAGCACTCAACATGACGTCGCGACGTCAAGATCCGTTAATTAGGCATGCCCATTTACGTCACAGCAGATTAACAGACAATCAATAAGACACGAAATACCAGTGGTAACGGGAACCACCGCTAAAAATAGACTTCGAGAGGCAACTTTAAGCCAAGTCACCAGAACGTTGGTTTGCTGCTGACACCTTAACGTCGAGCACGTTGCATGCGATGGTTGATAGCACATGTGCCCAGATATTACCCTATGAAACGTTGGAGGTCCATGCTGTACACGGATGAATCTCGATTCACGTTATTTCGAACCGACGGTCGTCAACTTGTGTACCGGTGTAGAGGAGAGCGTCTTGCAAACGCTTGTGTTATGTAGCACGACATATTTCGGGATGGATCGGTTATGGGTTACAGAGGAATTTCCCATGGTTTAAAGACACCTTTAGTGAATATACCGTGAAATTTGTTAAAAATCTCAGAAAATATGGAGACGTACCGTCATATATTCGAAGTAAACAATTGCATTTCTCATCTAGACATGTTGTTCATAAATATAATTCCATATAACCGTCAATTTGAAATTGCATCTGTATGTATGAATGTTTGTGTTGTATACTGATTTCACAAGTTTGTGTTGTATACTGATTTCTCAAGTTTGTGTTTTACTCATTTTTTTTACTCATTTTTAAAGATTTTGTTGTCTACTGATTTCTCAAGTTTGTGGTGTATACTGATTTCTCAAATTTGTGTTGTATACTGATTTCCATGTTTGTGTTGTATACTGATTTCTTAGGTTTTTGTTGTATACTGATTTCCAACTTTGTGTTGTATACTGATTTCCAACTTTGGATTGTATAATGATATCTCAAATTTGTGTTGTATACTGATTGCTCAAGTTTGTGTTGTATACTGATGGCTCAAGTTTGTGTTGTATACTGATTTCTCAAGTTTGTTGTGTTGTGTTGTATACTGATTTCTCAAGTTTGTGTCGTATACTGATTTCTCAAGTTTGTGTTGTATACTGATTTCTCAAGTTTGTGTTGTATACTGATTTCTCAAGTTTGTGTTGTATACTGATTTCTCAAGTTTGTGTTGTATACTGATTTCTCAAGTTTGTGTTGTATACTGATTTCTCAAGTTTGTGTTGTATTCTGATTTCCAATACTGATTTCTCAAGTTTGTGTTGTATAATGATTTCTGAAGTTTGTGTTGTATACTGATTTCTCAAGTTTGTGTTGTATACTGATTTCCAAGTTTGTGTTGTATACTGATTTCTTAGGTTTGTGTTGTATACTGATTTCTTAGGTTTGTGTTGTATACTGATTTCTCAAGTTTGTGTTGTATACTGATTTTCCATGTTTGTGTTGTATACTGATTTCTCAAGTTTGTGTTGTATACTGATTTCTTAGGTTTGTGTTGTATACTGATTTTCCAAGTTTGTGTTGTATACTGATTTCTCAAGTTTGTGTTGTATACTGATTTTCCAAGTTTGTGTTGTATACTGATTTCTCAAGTTTGTGTTGTATACTGATTTCTTAAGTTTATGTTGTATACTGATTTCCAAGTTTGTGTTGTATACTGATTTCTCAAGTTTGTGTTGTATACTGATTTCTTAAGTTTGTGTTGTATACTGATTTCCAAGTTTGTGTTGTATACTGATTTCCTCAGTCTTTGCTGTATACTTATTTTCCAAGTTTGTGTTGTATACTGATTTCCAAGTTTGTGTTGTATACTGATTGCCCAAGTTTATGTTGTATACTGATTTCCAAGTTTGTGTTGTATACTGATTGCTCAAGTTTGTGTTGTAAACTGATTTCCAAGTTTATGTTGTATACTGATTTCCAAGTTTGTGTTGTATACTGATTTCCTCAGTCTTTGCTGTATACTTATTTTCCAAGTTTGTGTTGTATACTGATTTCTTAGGTTTGTGTTGTATACTGATTTCTCAAGTTTGTGTTGTATACTGATTTCCAAGTTTGTGTTGTATACTGATTTCCAAGTTTGTGTTGTATACTGATTTCCAAGTTTGTGTTGTATACTGATTTCCAAGTTTGTGTTGTATACTGATTTCCAAGTTTGTGTTGTATACTGATTTCCAAGTTTGTGTTGTATACTGATTTCCAAGTTTGTGTTGTATACTGATTTCCAAGTTTGTGTTGTATACTGATTTCCAAGTTTGTGTTGTATACTGATTTCCAAGTTTGTGTTGTATACTGATTTCCAAGTTTGTGTTGTATACTGATTTCCAAGTTTGTGTTGTATACTGATTTCCAAGTTTGTGTTGTATACTGATTTCCAAGTTTGTGTTGTATACTGATTTCCAAGTTTGTGTTGTATACTGATTTCCAAGTTTGTGCTGTATACTGATTTTCCATGTTTGTGTTGTATACTGATTTTCCATGTTTGTGTTGTATACTGATTTCGAAGTTTGTGTTGTATACTGATTTTCCATGTTTGTGTTGTATACTGATTTCTCAAGTTTGTGTTGTATACTGATTTCTTAAGTTTATGTTGTATACTGATTTCCAAGTTTGTGTTGTATACTGATTTCCAAGTTTGTGTTGTATACTGATTTCTCAAGTTTGTGTTGTATACTGATTTCCAAGGTTGTGTTGTATACTGATTTCCAAGGTTTGTGTTGTATACTGATTTCTCAAGTTTGTGTTGTATACTGATTTCCAAGTTTGTGTTGTGTACTGATTGCTCAAGTTTGTGTTGTATACTGATTTGTCAAATTGGTGTTCTATACTGATTTCGCAAGTTTGTGTTGTATGCTGATTTCTCAAGTTCATGTTGTATACTGATTTCTTAAGTTTGTGTTGTATACTGATTGGTCAAATTGGTGTTGTATACTGATTTCCAAGTTTGTGTTGTATACTGATTTCTCAAGTTTGTGTTGTATACTGATTTTCCATGTTTGTGTTGTATACTGATTTCTTAAGTTTGTGTTGTATACTGATTTCTCAAGTTTGTGCTGTATACTGATTTTCCATGTTTGTGTTGTATACTGATTTCTTAAGTTTGTGTTGTATACTGATTTTCCATGTTTGTGTTGTATACTGATTTCGAAGTTTGTGTTGTATACTGATTTTCCATGTTTGTGTTGTATACTGATTTCCAAGTTTGTGTTGTATACTGATTTCACAAGTTTGTGTTGTATAATGATTTCCATGTTTGTGTTGTATACTGATTTCACAAGTTTGTGTTGTATACTGATTTCCAAGTTTGTGTTGTATACTGATTTCCAAGTTTGTGTTGTATACTGATTTCCAAGTTTGTGTTGTATACTGATTTCCTCAGTTTTTGTTGTATACTTATTTTCAAACTTAGTGTTGTATACTGATTTCCAACTTTGTGTTGTATACTGATTTCTTAGGTTTGTGTTGTATACTGATTTCCAACTTTGTGTGGTATACTGATTTCCAAGTTTGTGTTGTATACTGATTTCCAAGTTTGTGTTGTATACTGATTTCCAAGTTTGTGTTGTATACTGATTTCCAAGTTTGTGTTGTATACTGATTTCCAAGTTTGTGTTGTATACTGATTTCCAAGTTTGTGTTGTATACTGATTTCCAAGTTTGTGTGATATACTGATTTCACAAGTTTGTGTTATAATTTTACTTTCCAATTTTGTATTGTATACTGTTTTCCATGTTTGTGTTGTATACTGATTTCACAAGTTTCGGATGTATACTGATTTCACAAGTTTGTGTTGTATACTGATTTCCAAGTTTGTGTTGTATAAGTTTGTGTTGTATACTGATTTCCAAGTTTGTGTTGTATAATGATATCTCAAATTTGTGTTGTATACTGATTTCCGAAGCCTTTGTTGTATACTAATTCCCTACAATTAAGTTGTGTAGCTATTTCCAAAGTTTGCGTTGTATACTGTTTTCCATGTTTGTGTTGTATGTCGCTTTCACAAAATTGTGTTTTACTCATTTTTGAAGTTTGTGTTGTATACTGATTTCTCAAGTTTGTGTTGTATACTGATTTCTCAAGTTTGTGTTGTATACTGATTTCTCAAGTTTGTGTTGTATACTGATTTCCAAGTTTGTGTTGTATACTGATTTTCCAAGTTTGTATTGTATACTGATTTTCCAAGTTTGTGTTGTATACTGATTTCCATGTTTGTGTTGTATACTGATTTCTTAGGTTTGTGTTGTATACTGATTTCCAACTTTGTGTTGTATACTGATTTCCAAGTTTGTGTTGTATACTGATTTCACAAGTTTGTGTTGTATAATGATTTCCAAGTTTGTGCTGTATGCTGATTTCCAAGTTTGTGTTGTATAATGATTTCCAAGTTTGTGCTGTATGCTGATTTCCAAGTTTGTGTTGTATACTGATTTCCAAGTTTGTGTTGTATACTGATTTCTCAAGTTTGTGTTGTATACTGATTTCTTAGGTTTGTGTTGTATACTGATTT